GATTGCAGATCTTCTCATGCATAAGACACGCAAGATTTTTGAGGTGCTGAGTAAGATGGGAGGCTTACAGTTGAAATTACAGATCTGGTTCATTTTGATGACAAGAAAGACAAGTGAAGATTTCAGGCTTTTACCTTTGGAAGTTTTTCGGATATCCTTGGTTAAAGATTGCATTCAGTGTGCAGAAAAAAGTAGGCACACGTCTTAAAAAGTGTCCAATATATGAAGTTTATTCCACAGGTCATTAAGGATGTTCAAACTACAGTAATGCTGACTTGACTTATATAAGATGAGTATTTAATAGCTGCGCATCTTAAAGTTTGTACTCACACATAGGCTACAGGTGCTTCATTCCAAGTGGGCCTCCACATGACTGTGTTACATAAGCCTGACCCAGTCAGCTCCCTGCTGGGGTCAGCATGTCAGAGGGTTGACGTGGAGTGAAGGAGAGTCAGGGGCATGGCTGGAATACAGATGAAAAACAAAGAAGCAGTAGCAGAAAACAGTGGAAGGCAAGGAAGGAAGAGGCGAAAAGGGTGACGTCCTGAGAGAGGAAGGCAGGAAGACGGAAACAATGTAAAGGACAGATATACAGTGTGGAAGAGCGGCTATCCAAACACACAATGTACAGAGGCACAGGGATGCAGAGCCAAACAGCCTCTCTCTTCACACCAGCCTGGGCATTCCAGCAGCTTTCTGTCAGTAAATTATCATACCTGAACAGGAGGAACTCTGGAGCTGCTGCCAGCTGGAAATGATCTGCTTGAACTGGGGAGGATCCCGACTTTTCAGGGGGAAGTAAATGTTTTTGGCTCTGTTTTATTTAAGATCAGAAGCAAAGGAGCTTCAGTAAATTCCAATATTTTCATAGTAAATGGAAAAAAATATCTTTCTAAATTGCATTTCTTTTCCATTTTAAAGGTGGCTACAAATTATGCTTTATGTTCAATTTTAGGAATCTCTTGGTTTCTCTGATTGGCAGAATAATCCAGTCATGTTTCTTAAATGATTTCTTTCCGATTTTATTAGTTATCCTTTTTTCCTCTTTGCATCGGTTTAATGACAAGGCTTGTATTTTGATCTTTATCCTGTGATAGTGACGCAGTGGCTGAAATTCAGGATCAGTGGTTTTTACAACAGTTGTTATATTCAACAACATTTTTGTGGCAGAGAACAAAAAGAAATCCATCTTAAAAGAGTTTTTACCTCTTTAATGGGACACAACAAACAAGCATCCACTTTTGGTTAAATTCATTTTGTTTGCAGACACAGAGATGCAACCAACAGTACAATCAGGTAATAAAGTTGTGCATCCTTAAAACGTGCAGCTTATGTCCATAAGTATTTGGACAAAAAACCCCATGGACATCACCAGATGCGGTCTTCATGGTTAAGATGTTGCGTCAGGTCTTTGCTGCTTTCAGTTTTGTTTTGAATAGCTGAAAAGCACGCTCTGTTGACCTGAGAATAGGCGACTCACCGGGCCACTGAAGAACATCTGATCAGTTTTGCGGCGTTTGGTTGAATCTGAGCAGAGCGTAGAGCCTTGCATACTTTAGTTGATCTTTTTCCTTCTATCAGCAGTCACATCATTAATAAACACTATGACCTGGTTCCACTGCCTCCACCATGTTTGACAGATGGCATGGTATGCTTTAGATCACAAGCCTTTTCTCCTCCCACTGTTCTGGACCAAGTTTATCTCTTATCTGTTCATTTACCTTGTTGTAAACTCCCTTGACAATGATATTCCTACCTCATAATGAGTGTTTTTGAATGCAATCATGCACTTAAATTGTCTTTTGTGGTGTATTAGTGGTGCTGAGCAGCCCGCTGCTGTCACACTTTTTACACATGTACCAGATTAAAGTTGATTGGTTTATTTGGGTGTTTCAGCTTAATGATGGTGTACCTTATTCACATTTTTAGTAGCTGTTCACTTGTTTAGTTCCAGTGAACAGCTACTAAATCTAAGATCAACACTTGGAATCAAATGCAGGTCTTTAATCTGGTTAATTTGAAAAGACAAAAAAAACTGCTCAATCTGAACCTGGGTGCTGTGTATAAAAATGGACTTAATGGTTAAAACACTTTTATGGGCCTAACTGCAGGACTTATGTTAAAGGTGTAACAGCACAAAAAGCAATACACTTTTACCATTCAATACAGTAAACCATTCACGTCAACTATCAATAAGTAAACGACATAGAGAAGGGATGGTTATATTAATTTGGGGCACTAAAAATATCAAGAATGCCTGTTGAAGTGTTAGAAATCTGTGCAGCTCCTAATAACTACATAATGTTTACTGTCACCATCACGCATGTGTTGGAAGGGCGTGGGAAAGTAGAATTGCTTACAACTGGTCGAAACACAGCACTTGTAATAACTCAGGAAGACACAAGAGAGCGCCTCTGGACTCTGGATCAGAGGAGAAATATCATGTATCTTATGCTGGCTGATAACTTACTGAGTCACTGTGCAGCGTTTCAGAGTAATTTTAAGATAAGATGGAAACACATGACCATGAGTGCAATGGCGTGTTTTAGGAGGTGAACTGATTCTTTCAACTGATATTCAGTTACATAAAATGATCAGATGAGACCGATGAATCTGCCATTTGGAAAATATGCAAACAAACATGATGAGACGTGCAGTGTATGAGGATGTGTTTGTGCATTTCTTGGAATTGCATAAGTCATCTTTCTGCATTTCCCTTTACAAACACTGAGAAAACAGCCGATACATACAGGCCTGACGAGTATTATTTATACTTTAGTTGCTTGTTTTGACATCTGACATCTACATTATGCCTGCTCAGGTTATATATCGCACAGATTTATAAAGGCGAATAAAAGTGTATATTATTTCCAGGCTCACTGGAGAGGGTTTCCTGTCTTTCTGTTTACAATTTGTGCTCATCTCTGAGCCCGGACTGAGTTTTTGTAAATTGTCTCCACGTGTCGTGTAAGAGCTCCAGAGAACGCAAGCATGTCTGCCTTCGCCACCGTTTTCAATTTGTCCTTGAAAACGTGCAGGCAGAAGCCACTTTCATGGCTAAATTACCTTATATGTCCTCCCAGCCCCCTGCTTTGACTCCGTCTAGCCTACAGAGGGCAGAAGAGCACACTAAACCAATTTAAATTAATACATTAAATATTCTCTGGATGACCTTTGGATGACCTCTGGGTGACACAGTCCTTGACATAACCATTGGTAACAGAAAACCACTACAAATTTAAAGCACCAAACTATGAATCAGTTAAGATTTATTTAGCATATTTATTTAAATGCGTTTCCCCCATTTTAATAAGTAGCTTTCTTCTGACAAACCACTGTTAAATGTGATATAGCAATATTAAATACAAATCCACTTAACCTTTTGAATGGTACAAGCATTCCGTTTTATTTATCCGGCAAAATAATAAAAAAGGAAGCTTCTGGAAAGAGTCAAAGTTAACAGTGAGGAAATACAAAAATAGAGATAAAGCACATCTAACAGCTGTTTCGATTCATTTCCTTTCTCTTTCCCAATTGGAAAAAAAACTAGATTTCTTTGGATCAACATATAACAATATGAAGTGTATATTTGTAAGACATCTTTTACACAGGATGCATAAATCCATGTTCCGCCTCATCGTGTGACCTCCAGCTACCCATCAGTTTGGTAATTGTCCTTCTATCGGTCTGCAAATCAAACCCCTCTCCCGCCGTTTATTTCACACGCACTAAACATTATCCCCAGATTCACAAAGATGGACCCGCCCTCCCTCCCACCCAACCCCCAGATACCCTCCAGTCTCTCTCTGGTGAAAAATACCCCAGGTGCTGCTGTTCTTTCTTGAAGTTAGACACTGCCTGGAGAGCCCTGTGTTGACATCAATGATCTGCAGGGTGCATCTAGGCCTCCACCGACCCACGTTTAGACGGGGGCACCAGGTGGTTTGGCAGCGTGGGAGGCAGCTCGTGGCCCTCCAGCTTTACCTTGATCAGGTGGTTGGCCAGGGCAAACTCCTCGTCGTCGAGGAAGCCATCTTTATCCACATCTGCCAGCTTCCAGATCTTTCCCAGGACTGTGTTGGGCAGCTTGGACTTCACCAACTCCTTCTTGGCGGCAGCGCCGGACACTTTGCCGTTGATGGGAGAGAGGGTGTAGAAGATCTCATCGTACGTGGGCTTGTCGCGCCCCACCACCCACTCCAGCTCGTCAATGCCTTCGCTGGCACCCTCACCGTAACCGTGGCCAAAGGGACCACTCATGGTTCCCTCAAAAGCTCCACCCTTGACGGTCTGGCTGGGCATGGTGGCCTCTTCCTGGCGGACCATTGCCATGAGACGTGCGATGTCATTGGCGAGCATGTCCTCCACCGCCTCCAGCAGTTTGGGTTTGAGTGAAGCAAACTTGGTGAAGTCCTGACCGTTTAGCAGCTCCTGAGGGAATGAAGGTGGTTGAGAGAAAACAGGAATTGGTGATAGAAATAGATCAGTCTTCAATGGCTACCAATGGGAGCAACATACAAGAAGCAGGATTTCCTGACAAACCAGGAAAAATAAATCTCATCTCCGTCCTGGCCCATCCTGGAGGGCAAGAGCAGGAAAGAAGGGCAAAGATGTGAAGAGTAAAAGTTGGAAGGTCATTCTACTCTGAACAGCCTGTTTCTAACACTTTATACAACTTTCCAAAAATAGAGTTGTGTTTTCATCAGATCTGTAACTCAAGACCGCACTTCAGTTTTGTCAGGGAAGTGCTTCAGTTCTTTCTTTTTTCCCTTTTTAAATCTTACCTGCATTTTGTCAAGTTTGGGGAAGTCTCCGGGTGAGATCTGGTGCTCCTTCTCTATCTTGTGGTAGATTTCCCCCAGGTTGGCAATCAACTCCTTCTTTTTGGAGTCCTTTCCAAACATACTCGGCATCTCCTTTTTCAGAGAGCTGATAATGTAAGCTTGCACCTGAATGCATAAGAGAAAAAGCAGAAATTCTTAGCACCCTCTGGACTTCTGCATTAAACATTTCGGAGCTACAACATCTGAATTTTGGACTTTTCAATCAGGCAGAAGGCCAAATGAAGGGAACTAGATTTAAAATGGATGTCTGCAGTGTATTTTTAAATTTCAGATATATACATATTGACTAAAAGCAGAAATAGATAAACCCTGTGCTATAATTTGTATTAGTCGTTTTAAAACTGACATATGTTCAAAGATATCACTGGGCTGACATCTACTTGTGGTGACTTTAAACATGAAACACTAAGTTGCAGGGTGGGGATTGTTTGTTTTTTGGTGTCACCCTATTAGTGACATAAGACAGGGGCTTAAAAAGAATAGAGAATGAAAATATGACCACATAAATTAAACTCAGCAGCCGAGTCTAAGAATGGTAATCTGTGACAGAAATATCTATTTTGAAAAAATTCAACATATTTTTTTTAACTTTTTGGTCTCTTTAAAGATGTACAATTAAATGAAAAATGACACCAAAATGTAAGAAGATAGGACGGGTCTATGGCTGGAACGTGTAAAAACACAGTCACACATACTACATCGAGACAGAACACAGTGACGCATATTTCCAGCGTAAATAAATGCACATAAAATGTGTTTTCTGACATCGCAGGCTTTCTTCCTAAAGTGTCCAGTGCTGTTTTTCTCTTTTTTTTATTATTTATAATTCATGTTTTTGTTTTTTTGTTTTTTAAATATGCCATTTATAAAAATATGCAAAAAAAAGGTATACTGGTACTTTCAACGGTTTGTGTGTTTTTTTTTTTAGAAGTTTATGATGTGAACGTTACAAAGCTTAGTTTATACTATTACAGTGTTATTTGTCACCTGTACCCCAGATGTAATGTCACCGCTGCTGCTGATTGACGTGTGGTGAGGTTGGTTATTTCATGCAGACGCACACCTTCTAACTCCGGTAAACTGCCACATGCACTGAGCTCACTCTATGTGCAAAGAGCAGCAGGCTGAACTCTAAGCTTGTCTATAGACACTCCTATGATCCATCAGTGAGTGACTACTGGATTATCACACACCACAGAACTAGTGGTGGTGTATAGCACTGAATTTTTAATGCATTTCCTACCAATCCATACCAATTTTATCACTACTTCAAAGGTGAACCTGTGCTGTTTCTCCAAGTATCCATGCCTATCTTTTAAAGGAAGCATAAGTGCTACTCAAGCTCTGGTATAAAAGAATGTGGTGCTTTGTGCAATGATCATTGCATCGGGCCAAAGGGTTTAATTTTCTTAATACTGACCTTGGCGAGACGTGCTCGCTTGATGAGGTCATTAAGTTTGCGTAGAGCTGCGTTGCGTGGCAGCGACTGAATGTCCACAAAAAGGTCCTGTTCCTCCGCCTCAAACAACTTCCTGTTGTCCGGGACCAACAAGGGCTGTGCCCAGAATGACCCAATGTACACACGCACCACCTAGAATAAAGGTTTTCCAAGTTAATATCCATTCATCCATTTGTAGTGTTAATCCTTCAAACAGGCTATGAACTACAGATCAAAGTCAATGAGTAATTATCTGCATGCTCCAAAGGTTTCCCTGGGATCACTTTATGAATATGGCTCTGGATCAAACATTAACTCAGTAGTCAGGTGGAAAAAGCACAAGTGCTTATGTCACGTGATATCAGCTAGGACATGGGATTTGACATGGATGGTATTTTATCCGCGTTTCACTTTCATTAAGGAGTTTTTTTCTTAAGTTCCTTGGTAAAGTGAGAACTTGATAACATTGGAAAAGCTATCCAACCTTCGCCCGGAGCTTGGCTTTCACTCTGAAACAGTAACATCCTTTGTTTGCTCCACATGTGTCTAACACTTGATTACTACCAGGCTAGAGTGAAATAATTCTCACAGCGTTACAAATCTTCAGTCAAAAACAGAATTGTAAAAAACAACAACAAAAAAAGCAAAAACAACAAAAGGGCTTTTTTCCCCTCCTTCCCACCTCAGGTGTGTTGATGATTTTACCCAAAGACCACATCAGCGCTCCATAGACCCTCATCAGCTGCTGGGTGCTGATCTGATCTGCCTTGTTGAGCACCACGCGCATTTTGTCCTCGTGATTCTTGAGTGCGCGGATCACCTCGGAGAACTCATCAGAGATATCCAGCTTGTGGGCATCAAACAGGAGGATGATGCGATCCACGCGTTCAGCGAACCACTCGAGCACAGCGGCAAAGTCGTACCCTGGAGAGAGTAAAGAAGAGCTTTTTGAAACATCTTTAAATATATTAAATGTCGCATTACTGGGTTTCTTAACTGGACTGTTTTCCCAGCTCTAAACCTTTTGTCTACAATAAGGTCTGAACAACATTAAAACTTAGGTAGGTGTGTATGCTGCTTGAAATCAAGTTTCCCCAACAGATGATGCATTGCCATTAAAACAAAAACAAGACAGTACATGTTAAATTCAGCCATGTTACGAATTATTATAGTGTCATGCTGTTAGCATATGGGAAGTGATAAAGAACTGTCATGACTAGATAAGCTCACAGTGACACACATAGCAGGCTACATTGTCCTGGGTATCAGTGTGCACTATTATCTTCCAATGTTTGTTCATATTCTACTTGAGCACATCGAGTGCAACGGTGTGGCAGCCATCTGACCGGAAAGAAACTCCAATAACTTGCATCTTTAAAGAAGTTTAGTTTTGGACTCTACACATATTTATATTCCAAGTAAAGTTTAGATAAGGAATTTCAAGAGGCAGGTCTTTTTCCTCTAATTACTGATTAACTGGCTTTACTGCTTTACTCAGACAGAGACAGAGAGGTATAAAGGTAAGTTTAAACCACAGTCCCTCTGGATAATCTGAAGCATGACATGTTTTTTTTCTGGCCTGCAGCAGGCCGTGGGAGGTTGACAATGCGGAGCCTGTTACTTTGTCTGGCATAACCTAGTACATCTGACCCTTTAAAAGCAAACAATTGAACCATCAATGTAACAAAAAACATTTTGAAAATTGTGTTGCAACATTGAAGGGTGGGTGACTCCTGTGGAGCTGGCTAAAAACTTTTTTCTTTGGAGGTTTTAGCCTCAGGAATAAAATGACCTCTGGACACAGCAGATTCTGCAACGTGCCTTAGAGAAACCAAGCAATGAAAGATCAACAGAAAGCAGGAAGACACAAACTTGATATAAGGTCTTAAACTGAAAACGCTATACACTGTAACATCTTCTTCTTCTTTTTTTTTTTTTAAAGTGAATAGCTTGACCAGAATGTGCACTACACACACTTCTATAGCCGCCTGAGCACAGAAACTTACTGTACCATTCACTTCCTTTGGTTATTTGAGAAACTCGGGGCAGAGTAAGATTGCATAAATTGGCTTTTCCCCCCCGAGTTTTCATTTGCCTCAAGGACTTGAGGAGGAGGAGCGAAAAGAGCAGTGGTTTTCATTAGTGTGTGCATTCTTTTCTGAGCCAATGAGACAGTCGCGCTAAAAGCTCATCGCACCAGCTGCACAATTGACGGCAGATCTGCAGCTCATGCATTCCAACACGGCTGGCTTTTGTCCCTGTCCAAACACATGTATAGAAAAGAGCAACGGAGAGATACGGTCGAAAAAGCAACTCTGTGATAGAGACACGAAGAGGGAGACATGGAGATAAAAAGAGAATAAAGAGGGAACACTGAGAGAGTAAAAGTGAAAGTAAAATGACAACGTCTGGATGAATATAGCAGATGGATACTGGAAAATTAGTTCATGCGTGTAACATGTGAAAGTAAAGGGGCATCATAAAGGGGGACTGCTTCCAGTTAAGGATCCCAGTGGGAGCCAGCTGAGGATATTTGTTCATTCCATCTTAAGTCTGTTTTTAAACGCACATGTCAGGGAATCGCAGAGGCAGCTGCTCAAGGCCGACTTAGTTAGAACACATAGCATTAACAACTGCTGTGTCTGTACTATACGCGCAGACATGAAGGGATAGAGCCATGCGCTCATGACTTCATGGCTTCAAAATCATGTGCCTCTTAGACAGAGAGCAGATGATTGGAAAAACCCCTGAGCATATTTTCATTCAGAATTCTGGGAATGTCGAAGGACTAGTTTGGAATTCGAGAAACAGAATTCCATATCACAGCACAGCAGCTATAAAACAACAGATAGGACTTAGCATAAAGTTGTGCGATATGCCAAGGTCTGTTAAACAAAAGGCTAACAGAAACAATCAGCTTTAAACATCTGTTTGCTGCACATTTACTTCACAGCAAGGACGCATATTTCCAGAAAGTGACATCCTCTTCTTCAGAATAATCCTTAAGTGTTATTTTTTATCTCTTAATAGTGGCAGGCTCAGCTTTTTTTTAAAAAAAAATGTATTTACAATCTGCTTACGTGGACCTATTACGCTCACTTCCAGCTCCAGATGTTTATTCTTAGACTCTAGTAGAGTTTTGCACGAGTCACAGTTTAGTTTATTTATGCAGGTCATTGGTGCAAGCCCTCCGTTCATCCATTGCCTGAAACAAACTGTTTTTACTCTCTCTCTTTAAGACATCCCTCTTCTGACTGGCTGCCTTGCAAAGGTTTGTATAGCAGGTGGGTGGGGTTTTTATGCTCACAGAAGGAGACTGGTGTCTGAGGTGACCACATTAGGAACATCCCCTCTCTATGGCAATATAAAGAGCCAAGAGCAGGAAAAAACACTGCCTGAGATTTTGGCATACAGGAATTACTTTTCATTGCACATTTTTGTATAATCTTACTTGCACTTCTTGCTGACTGTTTCAGTCCTTTGCTATGTTTAACAGGAGCTCCCACCAATGTTAGAGCGCATACATGACAGAAAAAATGGGCTACAAGTCCCCTCTAATTTTGCTAAATAGCATTAAAATATCATTGTCAATTCATCAGCACTGCTTGTCGGAAAACACACCACCTAGTTCCAGTTTTACTATAGCTTTTGCCACTTCATAGTTTACTAAGGAACAAGCACTGAACCACACATGCTGACCTAATCAAAAATAAATACAGTCCAAGTGTTATGCAATAAAAAAAGCACCATATACATAAATCGATTTCACGTTTCCTGATTTTTTCCTGAAAACTTTTGTAATAATTTCGAAGTTATGTCAACAGCCTGCACATTTGAAATTGTGCAATGCGGATCTACGCTAAAAACTAGAGACGTAGCAATCTGTGGAAACGTGAAATAATATCATAGCTTCCTGTAGGCCTGGTACAAAACAGATCTGCCATTATTCTGGGTGAGGCACACATGACCGTCAAAGTTGAGCAGCACAATCCAATCAGTTGTTTTTATATATGACACAGTTAGTACAGTATGTCTGCAGTACCGTATTGTATTCATGTTTATACAGAAACAGAGGAGAGGATAATGTCTGTAAGACAGTGTGTATGCGGAGGACAGTCTCTTTGACAGCAAGAATGTAGGAGTATGTGCTGTATGTATACAGCTGTTTAAGGTATTAAACATCAGATTTAGCCTCCTCGTGTCTTTAGTCAGGGTCACTTTTCCGTGTGCCAAATCTCTTTATTCATACTCAGATGTGTACCTCCGTTTCTAGGTCTACACTTGTCTGGCCTTGTCAGTTTCTCTGGCCTTTCTCTTGGGTGGGGGGCGGGGGGACTAGAACTACAGGCTAATTTCATAATCAGTTTTTCTTTATTTAGCTTAATAGTCTTCTTTTTTCCATTTCTTCATATAGTGCCTCACAGGAAACAACTGCGATAAAGAGCAGCCTGTAAAGAAGCTGCCAAACACAGGCGGTGGTGGATAAGGGGAGGGCAGTCTTGGGAAACTCTGCTATGTTTGCCATTTTACTCCACTTCCTGTCTCTGGGGTGTACAGAAACCTGTGCTTATATATGTGCTTCCTCTCAAACACACAGAGTAGGTGGGGGGAAAAAAGAAGAAGCTATGTTTTGTTTGTAAGATCATCAAAAGTTACAAGAAAAGTGTGTATGTGGCAATTCTGAAATTACCCTGCAGGTCGAAGCATTGCTGAAGCATGCGGATAAAAATATAAATTGATTTATTTCCACGGAGTACAGGGAATGATTCAGATCTGTAGTGATAAATAGTACATAGGAAACAGAAAGGGTAAATCAAGTTTAAAAAAGTAGTAATAAAGCTCACTTATCGCAAGGCGCCTTATACTTTTAAGATGGAAGCAGGAAGCTCCTCCTACACATGAACAGTGGCTTGCAGAGCTCATGAGGTTTTTACATTTAGAAAAGATGGGATATACACTGGCAGGTTCAACCACCAAATTTCTTAAGGCATGGCAGCCATTCCTGATGTACATGGAAACATTTAAAATGACCACCTTATCATGACCGCATGCCATATCTCTATATGACTATCATAGTTAACTGTACACTGAATGTCCCTTATGCATTTTATTTTTATATTTGTTTGTTTGTTTTTTGTTGTTTTGTTGGGGTTTCTTTGGTTTGTTTGTTTGTTTTCCTTCTCTATTTCTGTTATCTTTTGGGGTATTGTAAATACTGAACAGCAAACTACTGTATGTTCAATGTTTTGTTATTAACATGCTGCTGTGACTGAAAATAAAATTTATAAAAAAAATTTAAAAAAGTAGTAATAAAGCATATAAAAATAGGAAGAATGGTAATGCAGGAGGCAAATTTTCATACCTTTTTAGATTTGATTAGAATACAAGAAGGATTTAAATGCCATCTAGTATAATTATTTCCTACTATATCTTTTTATTCCTGGAGCTTTGCTTAAAATAGTCCTTATTTATCTTATACCGGGCCTTGGTCTTGGGCCTCAGCTCTGTTTTAGCTCCTCTCCCCTTCAGACAATTTCTCATTGGTCACCCCAGCTTTGCAAACAAATAAGGGGAGGCCCAATAAATTCTCTTTGAAGGCGCTGAAGAGCTACAGAGAATGAAAAGTGTTATGTGGCCTCTTGGCACTGTCATGCTGTTGAGGTTTCCATCAGATTTATGTAACCTGTTTGGTTAGGCATTGACCTAGAGGTGTTAAAGGAGCTAAATACAGGTTTGACAACACAGTGAGCCAAACTGCTGCAGTAAATTGGCAGTGCATTTGCTAAACAGAGACAGGCTTGGGGAAAGGAGGGTATGTTTGTTGTTTCAACATTTCTTTTTCACAAGTGAAGTTGTCACTTCCTGTGGTTTTATTTTGCATACATGCAATGCTTTCTGATTGCGCTTGTTTCTGGGTTCTGAGCAGTGGGTGTGGTATGGTAGAGTTTTAAGAACATGAAACGAGGCGTATGTGAAAGGTGGGAAAACTGGATGTATGTGAGGCAGACCTCTGCTTATCCTCTGCTTCTCCCCTGACAGGATTCCAGGAGTATCAATGATGCTGATGCTCTCCAGGACGGGGTTAGGCATCTGGGCACACATGAACCTGCCAAGGAGGTAGAGAGGGGGAGGAGGGGGTGAGAGACACAGAAGCACAGAGAGAGGAAAGAAAAAGAAAGTGAAAGAGCATTATGAAAGAGAGAGGGAGAGATTGGATCAAGAATAACAGGCACAGGGGTGTAAAAGGAGAGAGGGATACAAAACCGGTTAGGTGAGAATGCTTACATAGAACTATTAAACAGATATTAATCTTGAACTTTGTAGCAACAATATCTCAAGCATAACATAATGTTCTTTCTTGTTGGAAGAAACCTGAAGCTAATATAAAATAGGAGTCGGTTGACAGGACAAAGCTGGGGTTTAGAGGACAGCTACAATCTCATTTTACAAATCCTTGATGCCTTAAGGTAAACTAAAAATGTACATTTCTGAAGCTAACAGTTATTCTACATCTGCCCTTTAATGTTCACCTAATCATTTAGTTTATAAAGTGTGTGGTTATTGTAAAAGACTGCTACCAACTGCTGCTTTTAACACACTTGATTCAATATTTTTAAGATGAAATGAATGGACGTGTGACTTTTTTTGCTTAAAGACTTGCTTATTATCAATAATGGCTTATCAAAGCAGTAATTTCTTTTTGTTGTTCAACAAGCTGATTAATTATTTCAGCTCTAGTTTGGATGTTTTGCCCTCAACAACAGTGAGGCTACATAATTATACAGTCAGATTTTCCAAACGGCGTGACAGCCATGCTTTTAGGTCAGCACTGATGTAAGAATATTTAATAAGGGAAACATATGAACAATACATGATAAGCCATAAATTATATGCCTTAGTCATTCCCAGTGCGACATAATTCACTTTACAATACTCTCATCGAGCTGGGACACTGGGGTTTAAATTTTAAAGCCGAGTGTGAGCCCTTAAACAGAAATGAAGCTAAGAAATACAAACACAGACAGATATAAGAATGAAAGTAGATGACTGCTTTTGCATACACCCCCATTGTCCCACTCAGGACAAAGAAGGGGATTGTTAAGACACCACACACTCAGGAGTACTACTTCTCACACTCTGTTGCCCTTTCAGTCAAACTGAACTGATACTCACAACATGAGCTCAGAAGCAGCAGGTCATAAGACTGTGGGGAAAAAAATCGTGCTTTTACATTCCTGCTGTGACCGCGCTGAGAGCGCATGCACGCACACACAAGAAAACCCTAACAAAGCGGGGAAAGGAAAAATCCACAAAGAGCAACTCAAAGAAATATAAGAATAGGGCTTCCTGCATAGAGGCCCTGTGTATTAATGTTCCAATAATAAACTACAAAAAGATAACAAATGTGCAGGTTTTTCACTCTCTCGCTCTTAAAGCTTTTCCATTTCAGCCATCTATCCAAACATTTTTCCACATAGAGCTGGCAGGAAAAAAAATGTTCCAATGAACTTGAGCTGGAATTCTTTGAAACGGAGGGCCCAAGGGGACGAGGGGGGACGATGCATGAGCATATCAAAGATCCTTCAGTTTTTCACTATATCTTCAGAAAGTGGGAAGCGCACCACAGTGTAAAAGACATCAAGCCTATGCTGTGATAGCAAATTTGGCTCCAGCTAATGACCTCCTGACCTATGACCTTCCCTCACGTCCTAACCTCAACTTCCCTGAGAGAAGAGGAAACTGGGTATCTGTCATTACTGCTGGAGATGCAAACAGCAGGTTACAACTGTGTGACTTTTCCTTCTTCCTGTGAAGTCTTGCCTCGTGTGGGTGAATCAATCATTTTACTACACACATACCTACACAGGTCTTCATGCTAACCTCTGTATAAGAGTGTACATGTGTCGGCCGCTATCACAACAAAGTGCAGAGTCAGCACCCTGGAGGAGTACAGGATGGAGCAGGATAAAGTGGGCCGGGGTGGGCCAGTGCGGAACTTGAGCTCTGCTGACTCCGATTTTACTGACTAAACATTTACAGAAAGCACTGACATACACTGAGGGCCTCTGACTGCAGTTGAATTTAACATAAAAGGGGAAGAAGCGCTAAAACATTTGCATGCTCATCTAGGTGTAAAAGAAACTGGGTTACTTTTGTGGAGACACTCAGAACAGTATCACTGCACAAACAATGGAAGGTCAACCACAAGTCAATAAATTAAATATATATATTTTTTAAACCACCAAAATTGGGAAGCTACCTACTATTTTGGGCTTAGAAAACCCAAGAGAAAGCTCTGCATTTGAGGATCACATGACTGATTTCTGTTTACTCACTTCATAAATAACTGCTTATACCGAGAGCCTGGTATTTAAAGGCTAATCTGAAGTTTGAATGACTATAGTTAAGAGCTATTAAAAGCTGCTGCCCTGACAGTCTCATTCAGTCAATTACCAATGTGACCCTTGATATTATTACCTACCTAGCTGAAGACCAGGCTAAATTCTTTGACTTCCTGAGAGGAAAATGGAAAACTGGCCTCAGAAGTATGGTTCAGAAGTCAGCCTGGTTCTAAATGTTTATCTACATCCAGTTCTTCGTGGAAAATTTTAATCAATTTATCAACTTGCAGGCCACTTCTTGGCTAAATGCCACGTGAGCTGTTTAAACAGTTCATACACCTGCTATTGTCTTACCCACATATCCTGTTGTGTGTGATCATGTGAGCTCTAAACCAGCATATGCCCGCTCATGTCTGTGTATGCTTCTGAGACAGAGATGCACACTGAAGTGAAAGACTACCACAAGTCCCACAATACCGCAGGACTGTTTCCAGCAGTTTGGCAAATGATGCTACAATGGACAATAGCTTTTGTTCAAATCTTATCTGTCTTCCCTTCAAGTCAGTAATAAAGCCATAGTGACCAATGAAGTCTTAGAGTCCCCTATTCTTACTTCACATTTTCAAGTTTGAGTGATGACACTTGGCAAAGGTTTGACACTCATGCGAGATAAACCAAACACTCTACAATAATAAAGGAAGGGCTGTCATTAGATAATGGGAAATTAGTCCAGCTAGGGAAGTGTCAAGTTGAGTGTTTGCGCTACCCTACCTACACCCACATAATACCCTGAAACTAATAACAGAACAAGTATTATGACTGTCCCAGAGTTTTTTTTCAGTTGTGCATTATTTGTTAATCCCACTCAGGGTGCGACTCAGGCAGAGAAGGGGGGCATACCTATATCCTCTACAGGAAATGACATAATCAACAATCAGATGTTTGACATATGATGTCAAATTCCACCCCACCAAAAGCCCCCCAGCACCTAGGAGACTGGACTCAGATGTTTTAAGAAATGTCACACTGGCTCTGGCTCACTGCACATTGCTTGTGCAGTTTCGCTTGCACTCTGAGCTGGGAGGAGCATTTACTCAATGAAACACTCAAAGATTGAGCTGTCCTTGGCGCTCTCTGGGTTTGAAAGAATACCCTAGAATCAGTTTTCTATGCCATTTATTTAATTTTATTCTGCTGTTTTTGATTATTTCTGCATTCTTGTCATAATTAAATTGTATTAACTGGTAAACGACCCACAAGGGGAATACTTCTGAGTCATCTGAGTGTTTGCTGGGGGACATTTTTGTTGGATTAGGACATGAGCTGAGTAACAAATATAAAAGTAATTAATATTTTGGGAGTGGCTGTGGAGGTTTCCCCATAATCTCTTCGTTATCTGGATCATGGACTAGACTTGACCAACTCCACATAAGCCAGTCTAGTAGTGCCAAAAAAGTATGTTACAATAGTCAAAATTGATAACCACACCTTTAATCCTTTGTGATAGGACTATATAAGATCACAGGTAGCGGATGAGGGAGTTGGTTTACCATGCCAAAGGACATGAAAGTTATGGCTTCATGATTTGAGGACAGGACAAGGTCGGCATGCTCCCTAGCAATATAACCTTCAACTATTTCTAAGTTCAAGAGGCTACGCTGGTGAGACAGGGAGAAAATGGTCAGCCAAGAGTGACTCTGCCAGGTGGCGAAGAAGATCATTTGATTGGTAGCATATGATACAAAGTGAAAGGGAAAGGCTAGTGGGAAAAGGTGTTGGAAAGCACCTTCCAACCCTCTGCTTTATATACAAGCTACATCTGTCATCTATTGACACAAAACACCAGCATTCTTTTAAGATGATGAAAGAGGTAAAGCCCTCACAGTCTCGGCTCATTTTAAAAGATTGTGCAACAGCATAATGTGAGAATGTACCTTGAAACGTGTCGTACAAGTGAGAACATGTTGGAGTGCATTTAAAAACAGGGCTGCTGTGTTATTATGAGTTTCTCAACACACAACAGCACTAAAGTGAGTATTCGAGTCAGCCCCATTCATTTCATTCACAGAGTAATGAATAACCCTGGGAGGTGGAGGTCGTGGTGGGAGTCATATAATTTTTCATATCCTCTTTGATAGAATGGAGTCCTGCTCACTGGCTTTACCTGTTGAGAAATGCGTTGCCAAAGGCGTTGAGCTTGCGGAAGGGCTTCTTGGGATCGACAACCAGGGCATTACCCGGTATCACCCCCTCCTGATCCCCGTGCATCACCGCGATGAAAGAGTCTGTTGTCGGCTCCGGGCCAATCCGCATACCGGGGAAGTCCTGCTCCATGAGGTGCCGGATAAATGTGGTCTTCCCGGTGGAGTACTGGCCGACCAGGAGAACCATGGGCTTGTTATCAAAGTCGGCATCTTCGAGGGCTGGGGAGTGGAAGTCGTGGAATCGATACGTGTCCTCTAGCGGGAACAGTTTGGTCCGGTAAAGCCGCCGCAATCCGTCCGACACGTTCTGAAACAGCTCGGGATCCTTCTTCAAGTTTTTCCTGAACATGGTTGCTTCTTTTCGCCTACTTTGACACAAGGGTTTCAGTCTCCCCTTTAATAAGTATCGAATTTAGAGGTGTGGGTGCTCACACCGCCGAGAGAGTAGCTGCCTGCTGGTATAAAGCTACGGACTGGGCGAGGCTGAAGTTTTTGTCCCCACCCTCCTCTTTGCTAGCTAGCCACGCAACTGCGAAGTCAGTCATTCAAGGAGGACTCCTTTTTCACTGGACGTTATCTAACGTGACGTGACGCGACACGACACGCCACCATAAACACTAAGCTGCGGTCAGATAGATGCAGTCAATTGCTGCTTAAATGTCAGACAGCAAAACCGTTTATTTGCTTGCCAGCCGACTAGCCACCTGCTGACAGTTGGTGAACCACCGAAGAGGACTTATTCCGGAAACAGTATTTTTTTTTGCGCGGACTACCACTACAGTCTGTATTTCACAATAAAAGCCTCTGTTCTTCATAACCCATATGAAAACTTTGATGAAAGCATGTATTCATTCATTTGTTCATATATATGAACCTGTGAAGCTTCCAATAACATTGTGAATGTTTTATT